GACAGCCTCTTCCCGATATGCGTTTTTGCAATTTACATATATGCAAAAACGCATAAAAATTGATTATTCACTATGCAAAGTAACAGATTTTCCCGTTTAATTTTTTACTGAAAAGAATAAACTCCCAACAGATTTCCCGAGAAAATTCATTAACAAATTTTAGCATATACATCGAACAGGCTGAGGATACTGATAAGAAGTGTTTAGCACAAGATGAAAAATTTTCGCATAGCTGCGTCCGGTGTTCCAGCAGCACTACTAACAGGATCCCTTGTTAGAGTGATCTTGGTACTGAAATTTTGAGAATGACAAATTACTAAGACTAACAAGAGCTATCATATAATAAGTGTAGTAAAATTATTCCCTTAATGCTGCTAATCATTTGATGAAAATGCTTCGTTTCTCATAAAGAGTGAAATGTGGGGAGAGGTAACGCGTTAACATACATATGCCCAGCAAAACTACTAACTGTTTCTTATAATTTGAATATAGTTTCCCCAAACAAAAGTGGGCAAACAAATCTTCCTCGAAAAAAAAAAAATCCTTATCCTTGCTTTTATTTTAAACTCCTCAATATGTCTCTGGTTCCAATAGCGGCTTAGTGGCTCGAGTGCAACAAATTACTAAATTAAATTCATTAAAATTATCACAATTCTCTAGTATTAAGGTCATCCATTTGCGAAAACACTGGAAACATTTCGTCACTGGATCAAGCAGCTCTGGTTTGCGCAATACTCACGAGCGCGAGGCATCCCTGATACATCAGGATTCGAGCACATCTTCATGGGCGAGGTACCACTAATTTACAGTATTACGACTTAAGAAAAAAACGCTTTGGCATCTGTCAGTTTCAGCTTGTTATCTTCTGTTATCTGTTATCTGGCATCTGTTATCGTCGTTCGAGTTAATGTATCCCTTGCCACATCTAGCGCCTTTCTTAATAAATTTAGAACATTCGGCGGTGTCAATTACCAAATTTAGCATAGTTACTAAAATAAACTTGTCACTAGGCGGAGCTACCCCATTTTCAATGTTTAATCCACCTACCGCCTCCATAAATCAATGAAAAATAATTGGCCAACGCACGGGCTGCCCGTGCGAAAATGCGTTTTTTGAATAGTTCCCCGTGGTTTTTATTGCTACCGGCACCGGTTTTTTCGGCAAATGCTTGTAGCTAAACAAATTAAGACTGGCCGCCAGAATTGTTAGGAAACATACCCTAAAAATTTCAGGTTTCTAGCTTCCCTAGCTCCTGAGTTAGCAACTTACTGGAAAAAAAATTTTTATGGTCCCGTGCGTGTTTGCCATGCATACCCGAGAGTTGGGTTTGAGCTGAATGAAACTTAGGTGGACGGGATATATCCTCTTAAAATTTAGTCCTCTCAGCTTCTCAGATCCCCGAGTTATGAACTTACCCGGAAAAATTTTGGCGGGCCCATACGCGGGTACCACACTTGCCGGGGCTGGGTCTGAGCTCATTAATACCTACTTGGACGGGGAACATTCCCTTAAAATTTCAGCTTTCTAGCATCTCAGATCCCCGAGTTATG